TGACTCACTGATGTAATTTTTTTAATATTAAGGTCAAACATATAACAGAAGCAAACGGAACAGTAACAGGTACTTTGATAATAACACCAAATGCTTTAATGTTTGATCCAGACGTTGTTCATCCACTAGTAATGGAGAATGGACAGGATTTGTATATTGTAATGGTTAGGTTGGTTAATAATATTTTTTCACTTAGGAAGAAACTAATCCATTTTGCTTGGTATTTCAGTACATGAAAACTCTAGTATAATTTTTTTCTTAGCTCGATATTTTTTCGAAATCTGGTACAGTAAAGTTAACACTGCTATGATACAATTACTTGGTCCATTACCATAGTATTTTGAGATTTAAATTTGGTCTATTTAACTAAGAAGTTTTTTTCCACTCAGAAGATTTTCAATCGATTCCTAAATTATTTTTTCTTCGAAAATTTAAATACTAATAAGAACTGTCACTTTTGTTCAATCGTATCAGTCTGTTTATAAATCCTAGTTCTTTCATATTCATATATTATTTCAATATGATAAATGCCTTAAAAATGGAGGATGTAATTTTAAATAAATGAATATTTCTTATAGGGCAGAAGAAATTATGTCAGTAACCATGTTTAAAGATGTCTCTTCAAAAATGGACGACCCCACCAATCAACTTGCATCTCTTCCTGAATGTTCTGAGGTTGATTTTATTTATCATAAGCTTTTACAGAAGTATTAATCCTGAGATATGGAAATTTTTTGTTAGTTCATCCATATTTTGTTTTGAAAGTTTATTTCCCAGAAACTTCTTGATCAGATGTTGTCAGTGACGGTACACTAATTTCACGACTTAATATTCCATAATATTAGACGCATGTTGCATCAAATACGGACTCGCAAATGAATACTAAGGAAAGAAGTGAATTGAATGAAGTTGATATTTGTGAAATTCGAAATGCTCGACGAACTTATTCTGATTCCTCAAGTGATATAAAACAAATCGTAAATGGTATGAATCGTATGTTACACATACAATAATGAATGCTCTTTTAGGCATGGATTTATTTTTAACTTGGTTTTGTTTCGTAAGATGACTTTTTCATTATATTCTTTGTTGAAATTAATTTTCGAAAAAAATTTAATATATATATATATAAATTTAACAAGCTCTCATTATTTTTTTAGACAAGAAAATTGGTAACGATAGCGAAAAAGAATCGCCAACTTCTGAGTAAGCAGTTTGATCTTTTGATCTTTTTGCTATTTTATAAGCTAAATTTCTCTTGTTTTGCTATGAAATAAAATCAGTGTTAAGAATATTTTCGATATGTATTGATTACATTTCGTAACAGTTTCGATCGAATACAAGCAAAATATTTCGCGGAACCATCGACAAGTGAAAATGATGCCTGTGCAAAGCCATCTACCGGACCATTTTCTAGACTTGGCAGAACTCTAAGGTTCTTTTCAAGAAGTTTTCGTTTTTGAGGCTGTAATATTTTCTCATCTGAATTATTATTGTTAAGCATCACAATTAATACATGAAAATTAATATAATACTCTATAACGCGGTCCACAGGTCTAAGTAGAGAAAAAATTCTGCAAATTCTATCATAATTTAAAGTCAGAATTAAATTATTACAGTAGAGCAGTTTAAACGATTGCATTTTATATTGCACATAACTGCTTATCCTAACCATTCAATACTTTCGATCCGTTTAATTTTTTTTGCTTCTTACTAGAATTAACGTAATATATTTGTGTAAGTGATTGTATTCTTTAACCGCAATATACATTAGTTTTCACGCCAATACAATTCGTGGCTCGGTAACGTGGGGTGCGGAGCGAATGACACAATCAGCAGTTAGCGGTACGAAATCAGTTGCACAGGGAGTAGTATCTCAAAGCAAAGCAGTTGCGGGTAAGATATGCAATTAAAAGCAACTTGTTTATTTGCTTTTTTGATGTCTGTTCCTCAAAGTAGAGATTTCGTTTGAAGTAACTGTAACTGATCTACTTTTTGTGGTAGGTTTGTTATTCATTAAGAATCCTGATGTTATGTCTAGGAACAGCTTAAATCTTGCTTTATTTGTTTGTTTTCTTTTATTTATATATTAAATTATTAAGTACATAAGTTAGACTCAAATATTTCAATTCAATATTAAGATGTCTGAGAACATTAGCTGTACTGAGGATAGAATTTCTACGAAAAAATTTTTATAAGTTATTTAAAAAAAACGTAGATTAATAAAATAGAAAAGGATGAATTGTATATGACTGGTGTCTAATATATTTTTGTTACTGAAATTTTTTTTGGTAATTGAGTAAAGTTTATCATAAGTGTTCTTTTGAATACGAGCTTCTCCAATACTGCACAAACTGCAGTATTGAAGAAGCTATAGACATATTAACTTTTTTTTCGGTATCAATGAGATAAAATAAGTTGTAGACTCTCTACAAAGTAGTATTCACTCAACGGCAAAAGTAGCGGCAAGTCATGCCAAAACTGCTGTCGATGCTGTTGTTGCCATGCCACAAGGTATTACTGGAATAGGAACCGGTCTATTCTCAGTAGCACCTCATCAGTTGGAAGAACCATTTCCTCAGGTTTTTTTTGCGTCTGTTTTTTGACAATACATGTGTTTTTTATTTTGAAATGTATTTAGCCACTGGAAGTTTTTGTGATGCTCTTTGATACCATTTGTGAAAAGGTTTAGATTCATGTATCATTATCGTACTTCACTGTGATGGTTGTAGTATGCTTTAGGAGTTAGATTATTAATCGGTACTGATAACTGCTATCTAATAAAGCAGTATCTTTTCAGAGAGATAGATTTATACTGCAAATAAACGAATTTCTTAAGCATAACTTGTGTATATATCTTCAGTATCATTGGAAGAGAAGCATAATAGATAGTTCCTTGCTAATTTCTTGAGTCTGGTCTGAAAACTATTCATGTTTTGAGCTATATCAGAATTCTATAGTTTTTTGTGTCTTCCTTTTAAAAATGTATTCATATTGTAATGTTATGCTCAAATTTGTAATTCATTCTCATCACTTAAGTATGAATGGTTGGACTTTGAGACTATCATTTTCTGAATACACCTTTTCCAAAACATTTTTGCCTTATAAAGCATTAAATTCTATGGTTATTATTAACAAATCAAAATGTAATATTTTTATAACACAATTTTTAGCAATATCTGCTTCAAATTTATAATATCACTTCAGGATGAAGCAAGTCCAAAGACAAAAAAGGAACAAAACATAGCTATATTGTTGGCATTAAAAGAAAAAACTCAGCAATTAAGAATGAAAGCTTTGGAAAACAAGAATTCTACTCAGTGAGTATGAAGTATATTTTTGAAAGACGAAGTTTGTGAATTTCCTTATAAATTCATCAGAAAGATTGTAATTGTTTGTAATTTGCACAAATTACAAACATTAATATTTTAGATTAAAATTCGTTTATTGATAATCATTAGAGCAAAGAGAAGCATTTCCTCTATTTTTTCTTTTAAGTATTCATGTTTATGTGTTCATATAGTTTTTTTCCAAGAAAGTCGAAAAACAAAGATAAAATAATGAATGCAAAATTTAAATGCTGTTTTGATTTATGAGATGGAATAAAATTTTGATTTGAAATTTTATACTAAGCAAGAGAATATATTAATTTTGAAAAGTATGTATTTGTGTGTTTATAATGATTGTTCTATTTGTTTCATATTGGTGTGTGCAACATCTTTGGACGAAATGCCTAATTTATTCAGGCCGATACACGAATTACTTTCCACAACCCAGATATCTTCTACTTTACAAAAAAGCACTACAGTTGAATCACCTTTTTACCTGTCAGTTCATCTGCACAAAAAAAAGAAATGCGACGAAAGTAATTCCAAAAATTTTTCAAATTTCAGACTTTCTTATTCTGTGAACTTTCGGTCTGATATTAAAAATCAGATACACATTCAAAACTATAATGCTGTCATTATTTGTTCAGTGGCATTCCTCTAATTCTTTTTTTTCTGGTTAGACTCTGCTTGTTTCAATTTTTGCATTTATAAAATATTAATAATATTCTCGTCTTTAGAAAAATCTAGCGTTACTACAGAGCTTTCACCTCTAAATGAAGATGTAGTAGTGGGTTATCCGGCTCGCACGAAATTCTGGTTTACAGTTCCTAAAGAGAAGGTTGATGCTATTTATCAGTTTTTGCTGCTGTGGAATCCGGAAAAATTTGTTGTAAGTTTTGGCAAGTAAAAAAGATGCAAAAATTTTACTATTGAAAACAAAAATATTCTGCTATATTTTCTTAAAAATACTCTTAACCAAAGAATGATAGAAGAAATTTAACAATAATTACATTGTCAAAGTAGAAATTAGTAACGGGATGGACGTGGCTTGTGTTGAAGATTGATTATTTTTAATTAGTAATCGTTGTAATGAGAATGAATTATGTCTGGTTGTGATAAATACAATTACACAGTGTGAAATTGCATTTTTTTGCTGGACATTTGATTCGATTAAAGAGTTGCAGGGGGACCGAATAACTGAAGATTTGAAATAAACAGATTTAGATTAGATATTCATTGGAAGAATTATTTTGTAAAAGTCTTATTGATTATTCTTACTATGCTGTAAATGGTTTGCTATATTTAGATTAGCTGTAGTAAATCTGTTCGAGATTGTTTTTAAAAGTATTATGGCAACATAAGTACAGTTTTATTTTCGTTACTTAACAATGTATGATATCTGAAGATGAGCAGGTGGCGTGCGCAGGACAGTGATTGAAGTTTACCATTGAGAAAGAAGAAATAATAGTAGACCTAAAGCGATGAGAGGGACTCACTACTGACTGCCTGACACGACAAGACGATTTGCGTTCATATATAGAGATGTATGCATTGATTGTGATGAAAAGATCCCAAGCGTTTCTTTCAGTTTCCTTGATGACATCACAGTAAAAGTTTTGATGTTATCAGGATTGTGGGTTTTTATCAACTTTTTGTCACGGATAAATAATGTTTTTTCTTGTGATAATCTGTCAGATAATGGATTCATGCTCATCACGAGCATAGGAGTAATATGAGTTACGTAGCAGATGCTTTTTTTTCCATTTTCGCAGGGAATGGAAGAAGAGATATATGGAAAGATATTTAAACTTTAACGTAAGAAAGAATGATGTAAAAGTTGAGCCTTCAAATTTTAGCTGCTTAAATTTGTTAACAACTGTGCTAATATTTGCAGGACCCGCAAGAAAAGGATACGGATAATGCCATGAGTAGGCAGTTACGTGACTTATTAGAAGACCCAGGATTTGTGGCTATAGGTGCAGAAAATCCAGGATTGATTTCAGGTTGGTTTTTATATGATAGCTTCAGAAAGTTTACCCGTTATTTTCAGTAGCTAACAACAGGTAGTCAGTTGTTAAATTAGCATCTCTCTGTGTGTAAGTAGAGATATAAGCGTGTTTTATTATGTATCAATTAATTTCTGCAAAAAGAAGAAAGATGCAAGTGATGTTGTTGAAATGGGTCACTACTGATAATGATACTGCTGTTAATATTAAGGGTAATAATTGTTTGAGATGAGTGGTGATGATGGTGATAGGTGAGTTGATGGATTATGATTAGTGATAATATATTAATGGTGGTTTGTTTTATTGCTTTGGTTATATAAAACGCATCTACCTAAAATGGAACGAAAAAAAAGATTGAGTTTTATGGAAGACGAGTACAAAACTTTTGTGTATTTTAAGTAATCTATCATTTATATAGTTATTAATTAATATCCATCTTGAGAGTACATTGATGTATTGTACTGCTAATTCTTGAAAATTTTGAGTCTAATGTTGATCACTGTTGCACATTTTTGCTTCTACATCTGTTTACTTTAATTTTTATCACGAGATACACTACTTACTTCCTTACTCATTACTCTCTATCTGCATTCTGCATTTTTGTGCTCTTCTTCTAACTCGCTTCTTCCAGATAATTGCTCTCGCGAAAACTCTTCTGCTTCAAATGCATTTCTTTTTTTTGCAACTTTCATACATCTAATTATTTGGTATCTATTTTACTCATTTACTTGGGTTTACTCTAGTAAGTCAGTAATGAGCATATTTTATTTCATTATTATCATTACTTTAGAGAGGATAATAATTGATTTCTCAACTAGTTATTTTTGAATGCACAAGGTATCATTATCATTAGTGCCAAGTGTAGTGGTACTTGTCTTCCTTCCACCTCACCATAAAATCTTGATTTGATGGATTGCATGTTTGCTTGATAAATTTGTTAGCAGCATCTGACTTTTCTTTATAGAAATGAAAAACGTGATCATTTTTAGTGATATAATCAACTACTTGTTGCATCTACTCTTCACTATTTACTCTCATAACCTTATCAATGTATTGACCTTCTTTTCGCCTTTCTTTCATCATTCATTGAAACTTTTATTATCATTTTTATAGTTATCAAAATTAAATTTGCTCGATTACTATGCATAACATTTGAATAATTAGTATTATTTACGGCCAGGATTATGCATAATTTAATATTATTTATTTATCATGTTATACTAATGCTAGACATTTTCTAAAGCACTGGGACCAGTCTCAGGTCTGATATTCCGAAGAATGTCAGGATTCATTCCAAGCAATTTCACTGCAAAGCATTGTTTCATTTTTTATATCATTCTATTTGTGTTGGATTTAGGAGTAATGAAGTAGAATTGAGCAGTCCGTGCGTCTTTTAGAATTTAATAGGAAATTTTCTAACAAATTTTGCTATATTGCATTTGGCTCAATTTTTCCAGTTTTTGTTTTGTTTTGTTTTGTTTTTTTTTCATGAATTCGGCATCACAGAACGTAAGTAAATTTATTTTATTATATTGCCAAATTTCTTCATCGAAGTATTTATTTTGTGCCGGCGTAGTAATTGCTCACTTACTCTGGTCAATCAGCATTTGCTGTTGTAATTTAATGATGATTAAAAGGCGAAATAATCACTGTTTGTGGGATCAAACTCATACGTATGTGATTTTAATTCTTCATTATAAATTATGGTACCGATTTGTCCAAAATTCGTAATGGTATATTTATATTTCACCAAATGCTTTTTGTAAGATAGTCGAGTGTACCGCATTATTGTGTGAAAGAGTGAAAAGGTCTGATAAGTGTTGTTTTAATTAAACAACCGGAAAAACACAGTGTGTGAGAACAAATAGACTACATCTGCGAGATTTATTCTAAAACGAGAATGTAACTGGAATCCAAATTTCATATCTGAAAATTTATTTGGACTTACCGTTTTTGTTAAAAAATAAATAAAAGAAAATGAGTAATTGTTTATCACTGACTCATCAATGATGAATACACTTATCACATTTACATGTGTCATGCTTGTGAAATTTTTATGATTTATTTTCGGTCTACTTTTTCGTTTTGACTATTTTATAGTGTATAAATGATCACTCTCGACTGTTTAACTGGTTACTGTAATAAAGACCAATAAAATTTATTTGATCACTTTTTTATTACGATGTTTATGAATGAATTAAAACTTATCTAATGATGTCATAACAAGTACTAATATTGTTATTACAGCAAATGGGAGATTGATTATAAAGTATGCTTATTTTTAGTTGTGAATTTAGTGAGGTAAATGAAATAATTGTCAATAATAATTTGTAATATAGTGTAGTTTAGTTCTGGAATTAAATGAATGTAGGTGCAGCGCTGTCGCTGTGTCCTTGTTTATTCATTTATTTGCTGGCAGTGTTGTGATACGAATGAGTGTGAAGTAACAGATTATTTTGACGCAGTTGAAATTGAAGGAAGAGAAAAGACTGAGGACTGCCTTGTTCTTATTTTTTATACTAATAAAGAAGTCTGAAAAAAGAAATCGATGTATGATCAGCGAAATTTCTAGTCATTTTGCCTTTTCTTACTTAATTTAATCAGTCAAAAAAATTTATGCATATTAGAGCGATACTAATTCAAGTAATTAATTCTTTACATGTTTAAAGAAGTGAGAAACTGATGAGTATGATCGCATTATGTATTAATTTTAGATGCACCAAGTTGGAACTGAAGCACAGAAAAGATGAAGGTAGTAATTTGGATAATATATTTTTAATTAAGCTGCAGTTAATTAATATGCTTCTAACTTTTGCAGTGTGTGAAGGTAGATTAGAGTTCAGTTCTGTTTTTTTCAGCTGTTATTTGAAGACTTTATAGTTGTTGTCATTAGTGGTATTGCTATAAGCACATTTACAGAAGCAAAATTGACAGTAAGACTAAATTACTGTGTTAGCTGATTAGATTTATAATTTGTTTCTTGTTTCAAAACATATTTTAAAAGTGATGTATTGTTCGAGATAAGAACACTCATTTCTGTTTTTTTAACTGGTAAATGTCAGCGGTATAGGAAAAAGAAACCACAGATTAGGTAAAAATGGTAGTAAATTTTTTATATATATTTGTAGGTGTATTTATGCGTTCTTGTACATCAATGAAAACACAACGCGTTATGGAGTGCGCAATTTCATTTGTGTTATTAATTAATCAAAAATGGCAAATGCTCTTTCGTTCACTGTTTTCTTTACTGTTTTACTTTTCGGTATTGTAAAGTCACAATTTGTATTATAGTTCATTCATAAGAGAAAGAAATTCATGTAAATTAATCCATTGATTAATATAAAATTAACTAATTCGCTTATGAAGAAGTGGATAAGTGAGGATTTTCATGCTGACAATTTTTCTTATAATAATGAAGATAATAAGATAATGCATAGCTTTATATATATATACATATATATTCAAGTTTAAAAAATAAGGGGCAAAGAACAGATCAGTGATGGACTACGAGTTGGTATTAATTCTTATTATAAATTAAAACTTCACATTAAAAAAGTTGATTCCTAATAAGGATTAACTTTTTTGAATATTGAAGTACTACCGATGTGTCATTTAAATTGTAAAAGTAATATTATTTGACTTCACGTATTGTTTTTCTTGGTTTTGATTCAAATAATATTTTTATTCTTTGTGCATTAGAATGTATTTTTCGCAAATCTGTGATTCCTTTTCACTTTAGATAGAAGTGAGTCTATTTATGCAAGAGTGGTCTCGGTTAATAATATTTGAATCTTTTATTTTATTTTAGCTATAGTTTGTTTGCAAAACGAGGAAAATTCGTGTGAAATATTGTTTGGATAGGAAGGAGTATGTGTATCCATGAACTTACAACCAATTATATCTATTTCTTGATAGTACAATTTGATTTTGTGAGATAATGATGGAAGCATTTCGGTCTATTAACAAGATAATATTAAAATTTGTTTAAAAAACTTGCTCTTTACTCTACTTCGACTGTGAGTGATAGTGGAAAAAGTTTGTCATATATGTACAGGTAGTAGTGATAACAATGTCGGATTTGTAAGAAGAATATTGCGTTATTTAGGGAGGGAAATTTAAATGAAAGTAATAGTTATTTGAGATATATGTTTATTAGCAAATTACAAATCTGTCAACGACAGTTGTATGGCCATGAATAGTATGAATATAACAATTTACACAAGCTACTGGTGCATCGCAAAAATTTCATCTGTATTTTGCAGATGATGTAACCAAAAATTGTATATTTATAAATCGCATTATACTCCGCAAAGCATTAGTTTGTTATCGAGCTTCCGTTTCATATTACTGGTGCAAAAAGTGTGTCTCTCTATGAGTGATGGATTAACTAATGTTAAGTAGTGACAAGGGTTATAAGTACTGAGAAAAAGTCAACAAATTTCATGTCAAACAGTGTATGTATAAATTTAACTTGCTGCTTAAATGCAAGAAGTTATCACAAAATGTAGCAAATTCTGAGTTAAAAACGTTAAAAATATTATTTCATGTTTCCATAGTCATGCATGTTAGATTTGCTTAAAATGCGATCCTTGAAAATTAGTTGCTGAGTGAAAATATAGCTGTGTTTGAAAATATTTTCTGAAGTAAAAAGTTTTTTTCTCCATAAATTCATCGTCAAAGCACTGAAAATAGCGGTGAATAATTTTAGAGCGTACAAATCACTACATTTATTAAGCTTCTTTTGTTCATTAACTGCAATTATTTTTTTATGATTATTGACAGTCTTCCGCATTTAATCAGTTGCAGATGAGTAATTAACCGGTTCAAACTAAGCATATATGTATTTTACTTTCATGACAGCAACATTTTTTATTACAAATTCATTAGGACATTATTTAGATTGTTTTTGCGAAGTGTAACTGTAACTGCTTTGATTTTCAGTACTCACATATCATAATTTTTTGAACGAAACAACTTGATGTTTTTATTTATTTGCTAGCAGAATAAATTTGTATTATTAGTTAAAGAGTTTATGTGCATATTGCTATGGTATTGATACCTCTCATATAGAAAACAGCGATAGAAAAATTATACTTGTAATAAAAGTTTGTTATTTTGATGTAAGGTTTTTTATGAAGCACCAGTGAAACATTTACTAGCTATGAGATTGTTGCATGAATTGTTTTGTGGCTAACTGAAGTGAAAATCTATTTCTTCCATTTCTGAATACACAGAAGAAGAAAGGAAGGAAATTCAGCAGACATTATAGTAGCTGTTGATTTTTTATTTACTTAGTCAAAGTAGAAATGAAAGGGATTCCTCCTAGGTATAGCTAATTTATGCATGGAATTTGAGGAGGGAAATTTTTTCTATTTTTTGCATTTTAAATAATGTTAAAATTGTATGTATTGAAGCATTTACTGTCAATTTTCAGATGCCTCAAAGCAAGGAGTTTTACTCATTCCAATTGTGTATTGTAATTAGAAATAAGAATCCTCCCTCCATTTTAGATTTGTTTTTATTGAAAGTAGTATTTTTTGGTGTTTATATTTGAAATATACAATTTTTTGCATTAATTTGAATGCAAATTTTAACCTCCAATTTTTGTATACTTGCTTTAAGATTCAAGAATAAATATGTAATACTAACATAAGTTTGGTTTTCATTTGAATTGTGAAGCTTCGTGATTCGTGATTATTTTGGTTACAGCATGTGACAAAAATGTATAATTTTGTTTTGTTTTCTTCGTTTAAAATTTATTCATTCGTCGTGTTCGAACTAGTTTCTTTGAAAGGGTCTACTTAGACGTGTTTGATTTCATATTGGATTCAAAGTTTTGATCTATGATTTGTTTTTTGAGGCAAGAGTTTTTTTCAATATTTTAGAGACGATTTCATTGGGCAGTCATTGACAAATTAATTGATTCAAATTTTTACCGTTATTTCTAATAGATAAGAAGATTTTGGTTTAATCCGTTAACGGTAAGAAAGTAAATAAATTAAATTATCTTATATATATTGTATTTTACAATTTCGCGTACTAATAGCTGTTGCAAACTAATCATGGTGATTAAATTATTAATTATATTAGTTTTAGTTGTTATGATTAGTTTATTTAGCCTGCTAGGGGAATTATTAGGTATTGCACTATCGAGAATGATTATGTATTTAAAGTCTTAATGAATTATATATCATTTTAGTGGTGAAAATTTGTGTAAATTCGTTCTTAGTTGAAGAAAAATTACGTGCAAATTCATCGTAGCAAGCACAAAATTAATATCAAATGTTTCTTCATGTGTATTTCTTTAGTCTATTAATTTCACGCTATGTATACATAGTACTGAAAGTATTAGTCATACTTGATGGCACGTCTTTTAGTTTTAATAGTTATTCATCCTTCGATCACGTCAAATTTACTTTAGAAAGGGTATATTATGAATAATTATTCATTTTTTCATAGAAAGCTGCCATTGTTTACGAAGTGAAACCTCTTATGAAGCCATTACAAGTTTTGTTTGCATAACATGTAATTAACTTTTTTTCTTCCTACTTGTATAACTTTGCTTACATTTTGCACTGCACTTAATGGGACTGAAGTTTGTGTGACATGAAACTTATGAATGTTAACTGCAAGCAGCTTCATGAAACTTGGAGAAGTTAAAGGAAGCTGTATGGGCTGCATGGGATGATTAGAGTGATATGTTGGGACTTATACAAGTAGAACATATTTACTACTTGTTCTATAAAGTAGTAATCGTTATTAATACTATTCTTTAATGAATTTTATTCCACCAACTTCTAATTAGACTAATTGCTTTTATTAGCATATCAGATTTTTGCAAACTAATTTTTCTTACGTTGCGGTTAGTATGCAGTTTATTTTGACACCTCATTATTTGTTCAATACTTGCTCACATTGCGTGATAATTTAAGATTATCGAAGTTAATTGATCGAGGAAAAGTTATAACTTTTGATACGGATCGTAGTATTCAAAGAGAAGCGATGAATAGTGCTGCAGAATCTGGACTAAGGTCAAGAAATATTGGTAAGAGAAATTCTCGTCGTAATCGAGTTCATTATCATCACGAGCCAAAGTATTCACTACCAATTCATATCACCCAAAAGTCATGTGCTAAAGAAAAATTTTTTCCACCACCTATTTTGCATACAAAAATTCATCAACTAGATGCTAATTCACTGAACGTTTCTGGTGTTCTCGAAAAAGAAGAAAAGAGTAAATCGCCGTCACTGCTAAAAGATTTGGCAAACAAAAAGCTGTCTTCTACAAAGATTCCTGTATTATTTGCGAATCAGAAATGCTCACCTGCATTAGTATGCTTAAGAGGGAAAGTATCATCAGTCTCAAGTGCTTCATCTGGGGTTGGTTCTGTTTCCGAAGATGACTATGAGATAGATATGGAGAAGTCAGAAACTAGTGAGCAGCAGTCAGCAAAAAAGGTTAATTCTGAAGAAGTTTCAATTCGGAAAGAGCCAGCCGAGCACTTCGAGAAGCGGAAAACGAAAAGTTTAGACTGCAGTGTTGAGTGTGAAAGTTACACAAATACGGGGCCCTTCGAAACGGTCTTCGAAGTGGAAGAGGGCGCTAATAATTGCGCACTTGATCAGTCAGAAGAAGTCTCCCACTGTGCTAGGGAACCATCATTGCAGCGTAAGAAAAAGCACAAGTTCTCCTTGGTGAGGTCTTTTCAGAAAATGCGTGATCGAGCTCTTTCCTTGCCTGCAATCAGTGTCGCTAAACTGTCTAGAAGTAAGTGTGTTTAACTTTGTTGCTCTTTAAATTGTTTCTTTTAAAGTGTAGCATTGCTCATGCAGACTTCATTTATTTTCACGTATGAGTAATTAGTCTTTCTTGTTTGTCTTGTCATCGTTTGTAGCCAAGATCAGCATTTGAAAACAATGAAATTCTTTGCAAAATTTCAATTTCTTACAAATAAATGGCATCAATTACTTGTGCTCTGCACGTGAAGCTTATAAATTGTTTTAATTTCACCGGAGTGATTAATGTAATTAGTAATATTCTCATTATTTTTCGTACTTAAAACATGAATTATGCTTCCTTTAAATTCATTGTAAACGATGTTTTGACGATAACAAACTACTAATAATAATTTTTGTGCTCCCTACCATTATTTCACTCATTATATTTGACTGCTAATTAGCTATGGAATATCGTTAACTTTAAAAGGTGTCTGAAATTCACCTTCACTATTCGATTACGAAGTGTACTCTTTATTATTAAACTTGGCAACTGCTGTCTTTCATTAAGATGTTAGAAATAGTATGAGTTATGGGCTTTTATATTTGTTTTGTTTTTCTGCTTCAAACTTTATCAGAAAGAGTACAAATTTAAACTTAAAAATTAATCATTTCAGATATAAGCGAGAGAGAGATTACGCTCTTATGTCAGGAAAGTTAAAACCATGACAAAAGGTGTTGTTACTCCTAAGCTAATACCCACCTATCTATCTATCTATTTATCTGAATTTACTTATCTATCTATCTATGTATCGTTTTCATCTAATTGTCTAGCTGCTAACCAATAGAGTTGCTGTTCTAGTTTTGAAATTCTTGTTAATACATCTTTGCCCACAGCTGATCTCTCGTGACCTTGCTACGCGCTGTTTCAATTTTGTAACGGTTCTCAGTCGCATTGTGAGTTCTGTTCTTCTGCATGACTGAAGAATGAATACCTGATTTTGTGTATGACCCCTAACAAGATTTTCTTGTTAATGATTAGGGAGATTAGAGCTCTTAGTCGGTGAGCACTATTTATTTTTTCTTCTTTATCCATACTTTATACTTAACATTAATATGACAGAATCTTTGATCGCTTTAGGACTGTTTCTTTGCTCACTTGAGCATTTTTTGAGAGGATCGGTTGAGCAGTTGAATCATTCAGCATTTCTTTCAATATATTTTTGAAAGTTTTCATTTAAATATAAATAAGAAATTATTTTGTTTGCAAGTAGTGAAAAATGTTTTTAAGCTTTAAATTCTTTCAGAAATCAAATTGCACTGATGTTTAAACAAAATTCAATATTAGAATAAATTTAATTTCTCTGTGTATAATTTCCGGAAGAACTCCAATTGCTGTCACTAGAAAATTTTTCGAAAATCATCCAACCTTAACATATTTACAATATAAATATGTTACAGCTTCCATATTCATTATATTTTTTATTCATAGAGAATATATATATTTCATCTCTTGTTTTCTTTCTTTTTCCTTCCTCTTTACGTTGCAATGCAAAATAATTTATATTAGTATTTATAATGCAAATTGAAACTATTAATTGGTATTGCGTTTTTCTATCATTTAGCGCAAAGTAACAGGTTCAAAATGTTTGGTTTTGGAAAGAACTGTGATCAGTTAATTAGCAGACGGTCAATGACTGCAGTCTTCTCGAACTGCTCCATTAGTCTACTAGTTTTCTTACTTGGATTTATGTAATGTATTAGCTGTATAGCAAGTAGTTGCTAGAAAGGTTTCTGGAACTACTTACTGAGGAGAGGGGGAAAGAAGAATAGGCAGTATGTGAGAGTAATTTGATTCAAGCATTTCAAAGATTCTAGCTGGGATAGCTCAAACTCATGTATCTTCTCCAAAATTCATCCAATGTGCATTTATCTAGCTTCTGAAACTTGTTTTAGTATTTAATATGCTCAGAATGGTATGAGTCAAGAACAATGCTTTCTAAGCTATCAGAACACTTGAATATTAAATGGAATCAAATGAGTCATTCAGTCACTTCAACTGTTTCATTTCCTTCTTCAATCACTACATTTCCTCGTCAGAAATTACAAGTTTTTTGGCGTCATATTCGTCAATTGAGCGCTGTAAATGAAAATCCTAGCGCTACCAATGATTCTGTAAGAACACCGCGGTTTTCCCACTTACTCTCGGAAGTTGATGCTGCATTTGGCATCAGTTATCAACGCAGCATCGGTGCGTTGATAGTATGGCTTATAGGCCAAAATTGTTATCTGCAAGTCTTACAGCAGCTGTTCTTGTTACATCGTAATTGCTTGTACTTATATTGTTGAAGTTCTACTCCACAGAACGAACCCTATTCTTTACATTTCTTCCGAAATTCCTATCAATATTTTGCTTGCTGATTTAAAGTTCAACATAATTACATTCGTTTAAATTTTTCTCACGATACTTTGAAGACTTGGACATGTATTGTATACTAAATTTCAGTTTTATTCTCAGTGTGAATTAAGCATTTTTTTGCAGAAATTTCTTTGTGCTTAAGAATAAACCGATTCATCAGTATCTTACTCTCAAGTATGGTGAACTTAGAAATTGAGTCAAGTATCAAAATTTTTCCCAGTATATGAAGTCATGTGCTCTTTACATTTTAGCAAGTTATATAATTGTAGTGCATTGCATGATTTTTATGCAAAAATTACAGGTGAAGAACCGTCACCCTTAGTGCTCGGTGATAATTTTTTGAATCGAGAATGGGAAGTGGTGGCAGTAAAGGAAATGTGCCGGCGTTTGTCACTGGATCAGGTAGACAAGGTAATTTTGCCTCTTCCAGATGGTGCAACTTCTTCACAAGTACTAGATGAAAATATGATTAGACAGGTCCGTACTATTGTCTTTTTTCTTAATGTAATTTGAAATTGCTGTTCAGAAAGAAAATAAGGAAGCAAACTGGCAGTTGTTGTTAATTAAACTTGCTTTTCAATTAACAATAACGGTTTATTCAGAATAAAGAATTTATTTAATGTTCAATAAATTTATGTTAAAACTTTTGCTTGCAAAAGATGCGTGTTTTAGCATGAATCTTAAACATTTTATATAATAGAATTGAATTGTAGTGTACTAACACATTTTTTACGATAATTTTGTGATTTTGGTGTTTGTAGATGGTAGATATTCTTCCTGCTCGAGCTGCGGGTTATCCATGGATAAACATTTATAATTCGGAGAAGCATGGCTTTTCATTACATACATTTTATAGGTTTGAATTAAAAATTTATTTTTCTTTCTAGTGTATTGAAGTCAATGTATAGTTTCATTATTCATTAAAAAAAGTACCTTTCTGCATGAAAAAATAAGAATTGGTCGATAGGTGAATATAGTTGTTCACTCTTTCTGTTTTGAAAGTAATTCGGTAATGAGCTTGTTATTCGAGAGTTAAAAAAACAAAGATTATTCGGTTAGAAATCAGATTCCAATGAATATCTCACACAATTTTTCAGTTATTCACTGAACATTAATAACTTGTTTTGCTTTCAGGAAAATGATAGATTGGGACGAAGATATGTCACCTGTGTTGTTAATCATTCGTGACTGCGAGGAGCATGTTTTTGGCGCAATTGTTAGTACTACAGTACGGCCGTGTGATCATTTTTTTGGAACTGGTGATTCCTGCCTATTATACAAATATGTGTGCGATCCCGACCTGACAGAAAAGTATTTTTTGTTTTATCTCATTTTGAAAAGTAAATTAGAGAAATCATTTTATAATACGTAATATAAACACTAAATTTAGCAAATATATTTGGATTTTTTGAGGAATTAGGATTGTTTGCTTGCTGTGTGATCTAAATTTTGTAAAGGCACTGACTTTGAGGGTTATTTAGAGAGCTTCGCACTTATCCATGGAGTGGTCAGAATCAATTCTTTGTAAAAGCGAGCGCGGATTCATTGTCGGTTGGCGCTGGTGGTGGTCATTATGGACTTTGGCTGGATGCAGATTTGAATCATGGCCGCACTCAGTCATGTGAAACATTTGAAAATGAGCCCTTAGCCGGCGAAAATGAAGATTTTGATATACAGTTTGTGGAAGCATATGGTTTTCGCATGGAGTAATTGTCTCAGTTTTACTTCATTTTTTTAGGGCTTCATACGTTTATTTTTAGGTAAATTAGCATTTTTGTTATTACTATTTTCATTTACTCTTTGTCTTTATTTTTCACTTGCAGCTTTCATTAAAATATTTGTTAGCCTAAATGTATCAGGATTACGTTTACTAAGATTCATATAAGCTTCTAGAGTTTATTCATACATCTTGCGAAAATTCCATTTTACTGGTTGTTGTTTTACATGAAGATAAAAAGTTGCATAAAATTTCATGCATCTTTACAACCTGCATTTTAGGTTGTTATTTATTATAGTGTTAAGTATACTGATTTGCTGTTGGTAGGCAATGCAAAATTACAATATCACGTAACTTGGTAATCCACATCCATTGATATTCTTATCAGCACAAAAAATTTGCCGTACTTGTTCTCGTTCTTTTTTATAAGCAAGGTGAGACAAAATGGCGCTATTCCAATTGCCATTTTTCTAGTATTGTTCAGTAATACTTTACTTGCTTGAAATTTTCTGGAGCATGCATTTTGTTTTTCACTACCACAGCAGAACATTGTTGAAAGCCACTTTTTAAAGTTTCTTAAAACCTATTGGATACTCTGTAGTCACTCGCATAATATCTTCATTGTTGAGCTTTACTGACAAATAATTGTTTATCGAAGCAGCCAGTAATTGATGATTGGTAATGTAATTATAATTTAGACAAGACAACATGTCTAAAAACCAAATGGCGATGCAGAGTTTCTTGAAACAAATGCTTAGCGGAAAACTGTAGTGATTTATGTTATTGTTAATTAATGTATTCAATCTTGAAGAATTTTATCTGCATATTTCAATTACCAAATGAAGTGATTATATATTCAAGTTGTTTTACTGTTGTTCGTAATCATAATTATTGCTTACACTTGCGTTCCATTGTTTTATTGTATTTTTGTTTTTTGCTAAGATTATTTCTAATTTGGGATAAATAAATAGTTGCCATTTACATTTACTGTTTCTTACTCTCATCATGAAGTTTAATTTAGCAAAAGCAAAGCAATAAGTACCAGATATGAAACGGTCGATCTAAACTAAGAAGTGTCGTAGCATTGTTCCTGAATGTTATTTATTAATATGATGACGTGCTGAAATAGCTTGCAATACTGTAAGAAAAGCATCTAATCTGCAAGTTCTCGGTTATTTGAATCATCGAAGTGCAGCAAGTATCTCGGCTTAGTGCTCACTTTGTTAAAAGTAATTCACCAGAACAAGCTATCTTATAGATGACCTAACTTAGTTATTCTCTCTAGAATCTTAAATTAGTGTGGCATGAACTATTTATTACCTCTAATCGTACGCTCTGCAAATTTAAGTTAATCATCAAGAGCTAAAGTATATGCATGTTATGAGGGGGTTATGATTTGCAGCATCAAGTACACTTTTAAAACTGCTACAGTAAATAAAGTTAATTTATTAATCAAATATTTGCCATAAATGAACAAAAAAACTTGTGCACATTTTGTTGCTGGATCAGTATTAGAAGTAATAATTGCTATTTGGTTGCTAATAGAAACAGTCTCCACATGCCAAAGCAGTCAAGACTTTAAAAGTAAAAGTAGTAATCATCACATGTCGATTGAAATTGACCCTTTCCTTGAAGCTCTAATTTATTTCAAACATAATAATATTGAGAAAACAATACAAATTTGTACCAAAATTTTAGAAAAAAATCCAAATGATCAGGTAAAGTCTTATTCTTGCAATTGATCAGATAAAGTTTTATTCTTTTAATTAAATATCTAGTAGATAATTATTATTATTAACTTTTATTTATGTTCTTAAACTTTATAGCTATTTCTTAATACTATTTGTTATTTGTTATTCAATTATATTTTTATGATTTTTTTGTTTACTTATTCAAATTAATTTTATATATTTATCTGGCTTTCAGTGTATTTTAATTTTTTAAATATCTGAAAAATATAGGAAAGCAAATTTTTGTTTGCATAAGTTTGAAAGTGTGAATTTTATAGACTGCTTGGGGATTAAAGCTAAATTGCTTAACAGAGCGATTGTATATTGATGAACTAGAAAATGATGTATGTGGTATAGCTGAAACATTATTAGACGATAATATTTTGGCTTCCAAAGCAAGGCCTGGTACTTCCCTTATTCGACCTATGAGCAGTCTTGAGCAGAAATCTCGACAAGCCATAAGGTTAATCTAATTTTACATTTAAGAGTGATAAAAACACAATGTTATATTGTATAATATATTAATATATATGATTGTATTTATTCGAAATCGAAGTATAATGTATTTCAAATATTTAACTCGTTAGCAGTTCAGTATAATTAAATTTAATTAATTAATAAAATTTGTAAAGCATTCTTGCAGACCAATCTCAAGCAATGGACGACCGTTAAGTGGTATGCTGAGATCTGAAACTTATGATCGTTTAAATACAGTTGAGCACACTTTGCGCATCTCAAGAACTTCTAGAACTGCTCGTGCTGCTTCATCTAACTCTACTAGATTCATTCGTTTAGGAACGGTACTTCATTTATATCACACTTTATTTCCTCAGTAATTCATTTTGAATACTTGCAATATATTGCTTTCTCTTGCAAAATCACAATTTCACGATTATTTCGGTGAATTCAGTTTGATTATGGTATTTGTATATTTATTTGGCAATATGAATATGATGATATGAATCTTGATTTGAGTTTAGAAAATAGTCAAAATGAAAGATTTTGATGAATATTTTTTGAAAATTGCTTTAACATCACGGAAAATTTTGAATAATCAAGCAAATTCAGTTTTATAGTATATTGTTTTAGGCATCAATGGTATCACAACCTGATGGACCTTTTGTAAATCTGTCACGTCTTAATATTGACAAGTATGCTAGTGATCCAGCAATAAATAGAAGCCTCTTTGAATATGTTTTTTATCATGAAGGTGATATAAATATAGCATATCAGGTACTTTATTATTTTTTATAATCAAATTTGTATATCCTAGCGTAATTGTAACAAGTTAGTTAATGTCTTATTTTGACCAAATTTAAGACTTATTTATCTTTTATTAATATTTATAAATTAAAATTATTAAGATAGCAATTAAAGCAACAAAAGCAGCTAATTACAAAAATTGGTACTGGAAGAATCAACTCGGAAAATGTTGCTATCGTCTTGGCATGTTTACTGATGCACTCAAACATTTTCACTCTTCACTGAATAATCAAAAAATTATTGAAACATATGCATATTTAGCAAAAGTTTGCCTTCTGAAATTGTTTATTTTATAAATTATATGAATACGTTCTTCGAATATCACAAGCTCAATCTATTTCTAAAATATTCAAATTTAATCTGTGCTTTTTTAATTTTTAAAATTTACAATTTTTATTTTTGACAAGTAAATAAAAAAATAATACATTTGCATTACCATTGTTATTAAAAGTTAATTAAGTATATATTTTATTATTTCAGATTTATTGTCGAATTGATCAACCTTTGATGGCTATTGACCAATACAACTTTGGCTTGCAAGTATTTCGGAATGATATTACTTTGCTAACTGGCTTAGCTCGAGTTCAAGAGGTTCTGTTAAAAGTATTCATTACTGTAATAATTTATGTCTTAATTTTATGAACAAAAAATTGCTCATATTGAAATGTATCTGAAATATTCTTGATCAGTATTAGAGTATTTGGCTCAGTTTACTGTAATAATTTATAAGTCTTACCTTTTAATTTTTGCATGAAGAATTTACTTCTAAATTAATTTAATCCATTATCTATCACTCAAGATAATTCTTAGAATTAAGACTTATAATTTGCAGTAATATTCTAATTTTTATATTGCAAATAAATTCAGATTTTGTTTCAAAATATTTTATTTCATGTTATTCTAATCATTTAATCCTTGTAAATAGATTTCATTTTTATCAATCTTTCATGGATTAATTGTAATTATTAAGGGGATTTCAGCAGCTTGGAGATATTGAAAAAAGTGTGGAAACTTATAAATTAGTATTGGAGCAAGATCCAAGCAATATCGAAGCAATCGCTTGCATTGCAACTAATTACTTCTATAATGATCAACCTGAAATCGCCCTCCGTTATTACAGGTTCATTAATTTGTAAATTATCTCATAAAGTTTAAAAAAAATTATTCTGTCAAAAACACTTTTCTGAAATAATTTTTAAATGCAAATATTTGCAAAGGTAGGAAATTTTTTAGTTTTTATTGCAAAAATTTTAATTTATTCAAAAATTTTATTTATTATTAGCTCAGTTCAAAAACTTCAATTAGTCTGCATTTTGAATTCATAGATTCCTTAGTACTTTGCTGATTTGCCAAAAAATTTTATTTTTTTTTATAATAATAATTTAATCATTTTTTTACGACAGAAATTTGATTTTTATTACAAATTTCAAACATATGATTAAAAAAACCAATTTTACACCGATTAATGTTTTACATATTTTATTTGTACCAAAAAATGTTTATAAGATATTTATGCGATACTACTGACGTGATTATCTCATGAAAACACTGTAGTGAATTTAGTTGTTTACTTTGGTAATATCACGTTTTTCAGACGTATTTTACAAATGGGTGTGAATAGCGCTGAACTTTTCATGAACCTTGGCCTGTGCTGTTTTTATTGTCAACAATTTGACTTAGCAACTTCCTGCATTGAACGAGCGCAAGTCTCAGCTGACGATGAAGTTGCAGCTGATATTTGGTACAATACAGGAAATATATTTTTGGTAAATGCCATGATAAATATACAAATTACTTACTACCAAGTACCAAGTAATAAATTTATGATAATTTTTATAAGTAATCATGAAAATATTGCAGTCATCAGGCGATACCAATATGGCATCACGTTGTTTTCGACTAGCAATAGCTACAGACGTAAATCACGTGGAAAGTATTTGCAATTTAGGCATTCTTCAAATGAGAGATGGCAAAATAGAGCAAAGTCGATCACTATTTCGTACAGCTATTGAGAAAGGACCACATCTGTTTGAGCCGTGTTACAATCTTGCTTTACTTACTTATCAAGTCAGTAAGTTAGAAAACACTGATAGTAATTATCGAAGTAATTACTTGAAAATATGTGTTATACACTGCTAGATGTTGTATTCAATTGTATTTCTTATACTCATTAATTAGTGGTAAAATAAATTTGATCAAATTTATTATTTTCAGATTGGTCAATTTGAAGAAAGTCGTACAATGGTACTAAAAGCTTTGCAACTTTTCCCTGAACACATTCAATCGAAAGCAATTTTGGGACATATCGAGCAAATGTCAAATGCAATATGAATATATCTGACAAATATGCATTTAATCCATTTATGGCTTTCTGAAAAACTTAAATACTTATTACTTCTACCATTTTTTAACGTTCAATTCGCTACACTTCAATGTTTAGACTCATTAAAAGATTTTAGAAAAAAAAACTTCCACTTATCTTATTTATAATATTTATCAAAATGGACAATCTAATTATTTTGATTTATAATATCTTATTAAAATGAACAATTTAACTATTTCTATTCTCCAGCTAATTAAAAACAATATAAGCAGTGATTTCGAGAATGAATATTAAAATTATCAGCTACTTGTAGTTTAAAAAATTAAAATTACTTTTCAAAAAGCATTGATATAAATCTTCAGTACAAAAATTATTCATTTTGAATGCCACCAAAAAGGCCAAGTATCATCCAAAATAAGTAAACTATATCAGTAAATATTGTAATTGCTGCAAAAATGTACTCTTCTGGTGAAATTTCATACTTTTTTCCACCCATTACTAACTGAAACAATTAATTATTAATTAATTAATTAATTAATTAGTTTATTTATTCTGTATTCATTACTGCATATCTTGTCTTGGCAACTTGTTCTATAGTAACTTTATATTAATATTGCTAGAAAAGCAACGATATTAATAATACTTTTAAATATTTTTTTAATCAACTATGGCAAGAGATCTGAACTAATGCTAAAATTTAGCACATGAAATATGAACTATTAAGATATTTCAGCTAAATATTTGCTAACTTTGTGACATTCAAGCATTATTGCAGTGAATGAAAGACAATTTGAAGTAATCTACTTATCTCTTGTAGAAATATTACTTATACTATCTAAGTATAAATAATTGGTCAAAAATAATTGACCCCATCTAAAAATCTTAGTCCTTCAAGTGACCTATTGTATTATTTTCTGTAAAATATTTATTCTTAACCAAGTTATTAAAATCAAAAGTTGTTATGCTTAAGCACAAAAAAGACTAATTAAATCATTTTTATGTAATAATTTTTTAGAGAGCTCAAACGTATTCGAAAGGTCACTAGCTATTGTTTTCAATTTAAAAAAAAAAAACTTTGCATTTTTAAAAATTTCTTTTCATTATTTTTGCAATAAAAAAGCAGTAAATATATAAGCAAGAGCTGTTACTTGTATATCAACAGCTAAATATGCCATAAATAATATAGCAGCAAGGCCAGCGTATATTATATACAACCATTTGACGTTAAATATCCACGCAGCTATCATTGCCACAATGCCAATTACAAATACGACAAGTGTGCATATGAATAATATTCCAAGAAAACTACAATAATTAATTAATCAGTATTTTATAAGCATTCAATTTATTTGTAATATTTAGCATAATACCACCATCCATCAATATTTATCAGTTGTAGTGCTTATCCAACCTTTGAGTCAATTTAATTTAGTAAGTTTAAAAGATTGTTTGTGTTTATATATGATGCAGTTGATCACTGTTCATGCAATAACAATTACTGAGAAAAAATATGAGCGGGAAATTCATTCCATTATACTTATATAAGCATTCATTTTCAATTACAATTTTTTGGAATTATATAAGTATAATGTACGGCTATACTAGACTAATTATAATGTCCTAAAATCAATCTGTCTTACTATTAAGATTAAGTATTCTAGTTTAATGCAAGCTTAGATATTATAAATTTGGTAACATATTTGGATGACAGTATGAACAGTTTTGGTATTGAAAAGTTGCTAAATGCAAACTGTATTTTATCATTCATAACTATGATTTCCTCTAAAAACAGAAAGGCAAAAGTTACCTTGTCAAGTCATACTTTGTTTGTAAAGCAAAAATGATAATACCAAAGCAACAAATAGCTGTGATAACTAAGCATATCAATACGGAGATGATATCATGATAAGCACATATGCACATAGTCAGCAAACTCATTGATAAAGTTAATAATGCTGTGAATATCAAGTTGGTCGGATATGACCTAATGAATTGATAAGTTTATCCATAAAATAAGAATATTAAGAAAATCAAAATTAATATGAAACATAAAATATTGCATAATTTTATCCTCAAGAATTTTTTACATCCAATTAGCAGTTTCTTCATGACAAAAAAAATGGAAAAATGAAGGAACAATAATTTGATAATTATTGATAATTTGTTACTGACAACGAAGATATACTTTGAAGTAACAAATTTATAATATAAGTTAAACCTTAGCAAAATTTTTTATTAAAAAAAATTATTATTTAATTATATTACTTACCTTCGAATCCCTTCACAACACATTAATGCAATATAAACGACCGTGAATAATAACCAGCTTATAATATAAAGTCCAAAAGAACGTTGTACAAAGTGACGAATATCACTGTTCATAAACGGAATTGATGTTATTAACGCAGTGACCAAAAGCTGAAATTAGAAGTTGATAGAAGTGATAAATAGTAAAGATAATTGATATAATACTGTATGATAGGATTTACAAGTTTTAAAAATTATTAATCTGTTCATAAATTTAAAAATAATATTTGATCTAATAACGAACCATAATTGAAACAAGAAAGAAAACTTTCCGAATAAAGGCATTTCGTATAGACGTAGAATTGAAAGTAAAGTTCAACAAAGGTCGTCCAGATTCAACATCATGATTTATATCTAAATTATTTTCAAAAATATACTAATTTTTTGTTTTACAACAAAAAACTTTAGCTTAGAATGCTTATAACTTTGTTTTAAAATATCAAATAGTATTCAAAATATGCAAGAATTATATTAATTAACTGATATTTTGCACAATTCAAGCATTATTTCATTAACTGTACACAGAATAAGTAATTAAATAATTAATACAAACAAATTATTTATTTATATACTTTCTTCTTGTAGTAATTTAATCAGTACTGAGTATATCTAATAAGTTTATATTTTAATCATTGCAAATTTGTATATTCTTAAATTTTGACTGCTTTTTGGGCTTTTTGGGAGCTAATTGTACATTGAAATAATTAAATAAATATTTGCAAACTTTTAACATGTCTTGAAGATTTTTGTAAACTTTCATCATTGGAACTGTCAGAATATTTTTCACGTTCAATTATTGCTGGCATTTAATTCTACCAAAGTTTACTGAAAGATTCATATTTGTTCATGTTTACTATATCTTGAACGATCACAATAATTTATGCAACAATACGTGTGTTACCATAATTTTAATTATAATAATGCATAGTTTTAAGACTTCTGAAGGTAAAGATAATTAATACTCGGAAAATTATAACGTAAATATAATAGTAAATCATATAAACCTTTGAAATAAATCAAGCAAATATGTGCCTAATGTACTTTTTAGCAAATTGACCGCTCACAATAAACAAATATTTACAATAAATCCAAAAAGTATTTTTGAGCAGTAATATAAGTAAATAATTGATACTCTTATTGTACACGTAATTCACGCCAGTAAATTTGCAGCAATCCATGCAAAGATTATCCACAAATCTAAAAAAGGCTTTTTCTGGCATATTTGTGCAGTGATTACATTAAAAATAATTCAGTTCATAATTTTTGTTTTTTCAAAATAAGTTATTTTGTGAATTATTTATTTTTCAAAAAGATTTCAAATATTATCCGCTTTATATGCTATTGAGAAGAACAGAACTGTAAAATTGTGCCTAAATACTATCATAAACTGTTTGTGTTCTCACTATGTTCAAGCTTTCTGGCTTGTAATATTGTGTTTAAAGGCAAAACTTTTAAGGTCATATTGAAATTATTTGAATTCGCGCAGATTAAAAAGCGATTTCGAAGTCATCAATTAACATTTACTGTACAATCGATGAGATTTTTATTTTTAACTATTCATGAAATTATCTATACTATATCTATACTATATTGACGCAGTCAGTAACTCTCAACACTTTGCATACGTAAACAATCCTCTTACGTTTACTTAAAATGCAGTTGTAAATTATTCACACTGCTAAATAATGTTGCATGGATTATCGCTAAAAATTTTAATAATGAAAGCAATCGATGAAAAATACTTTTTAAAATAAAGAAAAATAAAAGAAAAAAACATAAATAATAAAAATGAAAGATAAAAGTAACATAAATAATAAAAATTAAGACATTCAAATCTAATTAAAAATTTAAATTTACTGAAAATATTCGATTGAATTATATTATGCTGTCAGATGCATTGCTTCAAGCGTTTAACATCGAATATTTTGCTGTGTAGTTGTTAATTTAAGCAGTAATAAATCTGTAAAATATGTTATTTTTTATAATTACTTACTGTTTACATGCATTGTTGCAGTCATAAAATATACTTTATTAATATTAAAGATTCGTTCTAAATCGAACTCTGATGATTTGAATTTGCGTGTTATTTTTATGGCAATATTGGGATTCTTTCAAAGTAATGATGGAAAATCTGATCAGCAATTATTACTATTTGAAATGTTAAGGTATAGAGAAGACTTGTGATTTTCATTGAATATCACACATTGATAAACAACTGTTGATGTGCTTTTGTATTTTTATGAAAAAATGGAGTCAACTGAGTTTATCTGTCAAATTTAACTGTACTATAAGATCAGAGTGAGTAGTCAGTCAGTAACTTCAATCTGGCACACTTTTCAGCAGAATCAAAGCTCTCTCAGAAAGGCTTATTGGTGTCAAAGGCCAATGCGATTTTGGAAATAATAATACTAATTTATGTAAAGTTTTGCTGCTCAAAAAATTGTATAAAAGCATTAATATAACAATGCAATTCACCTCAGTTTACTTCATTTGCTATTTGCATTTGTAATTCATATCGAATTTGTTTTACCGCTTTAATGCATAAAAAATATAAGTACGAATTCAGGTTCGCAAATCGTTTACGACAAAATTATCATTTGCGATGTGCACCTCCACAATGTCTACTTGGATAAGCCTCAGTCTTATTTTGGTATGTTTTGTTAGGTAGAATGCACTCACTTTGAAGGCAAAACCAAGCTGCTATTTTTCTAGCACAATTCCTTTATACTTATAGGTATCAGAAGTAGTGACTCCACTACCACCACAATCACCACTATCAGAACCTTTGGACTTGTCATTGGGAAGATTTGGGGTAAATCAACAAAATGTTATCAAAGCTAACGACACCCAACGATTGCTTTCCACACTGAGTGCTGAAGAAAACGATAGATACGTAAACATGAATGAATTTTTGACAGTAGAGTTAATTTCTGATGAAAAACATGAT